GGTTTTTTCTTTTCCATTCAGCGTCGTGACTAGTGATTAATTACCTATAAACTACATAACTTTTCTCAAACTATATGTATATATATATATATACACCATGAAATATTAAAATAATTCTGTATTGGACAAACGTGACGCAAGTTTTTTTTTGTGAGTGTTTTTTATAATTATTTTGCCACTATCCGAATTAAGCACCCAGTTTGCTCAAAATGTATAGAAAACAATGTTAAAAGAATGTTAAAAGAATTTGTTACTTGTATAGATAATATTTGTAAAGAGTAATATATTATATACAGTCTTTTCTTTATTGTTGCTAGAGTTAATTAATAATTATCTGTTTTAGTTTTGTTATAAAAACAGAAAATCTCTTGGCTCGTTTTTTTCTCAAACTTTATAAATATCCGATTTGAAAATTGTAATTATTTTCTCTAAATGGACCCCAACTACTACGATTAAAGGGTGCGATGACTGAAGCCAACCGATACTCGCAAAAGGACATATATTTCCTTTTCACCTTTAATAATATAATAATTAATAAGATCAGATCAAACTATATATATGACAAGTCTTTGAACACACAATTAACTCTGCAACGTAACATTATTAATTTATTAAACCAACTTCTTTCCATCAAATCTCTGGTTGAGGCACTGTTTATGCGCGATGCGAATGCGAGGTACGATTGGGCACGATTACAGAAATATTACATTTTTTATGTACTGTTTCAACTTAGTAAATATGGTGTTTTTCCCTTTTGATCTGCTGGTGACATATGTATTGATAGAAAATCTTTTTCTTTATCATCTTTTTTTTTTGGTCACCATCTTTTTCTTTATCATTTATATATAAAAATATAAATGTAAAAACGGAATATTTGGTTTGTTCGTTCCATTCTGCATCATATTACGTATGTAAACAACTCTCTACATAGTTGGCTTGTTTGAGCTATTTTTTTAGTTTTGTTGAAAACAAATAAAAAAGTAAATAAACCAACTTCTTGTCTTTTTGAGTTTTGCCTAACCGTTTTGTATTGTAATATATTGTGTTTGTGTCCACAAGAAGAAATCTCTCCTCTCGGAGTATCTTTTTTTGTTTGTTTGATAAACCAGAGCTAAACTAATGATTATATTTTGGGATTTGATTGGTGATTATGTTTTTGATCAGTGTATTTAGATTTTTTTATAAACACAATTACATATGATTACAATTTAAAACCGATAAAAAGAGTGAAAATATATGATAAGTTAATAACTAAAGGAGATGAATAAAAAAAAAATTAAACTATAGGAGAAAATAGTTGAATTATATGTTCCAACTTCCAAGTGATAAAGTTTTATTTTAATGATATTATAGGAGCCTAACAGCTCACTGTAGTAGTTGATGAGATCGTTTCAAGTATGCCTACATTTTCCACCATGAAGCTTATGTTAGAATGTCTTTATCTCTTAAATATAAGATAATATTTGTATAAGAAGAGAGTCAAATGTACAGTCTATAAGAGATCGTCACCGTTTTTTTTTTCAGCTACTCTCACCGTTTTTGAGTAAGTGTCAAATATTTATATTATGTGAATTCAAAAACAAGGTTAGATATATACGGGAAAAATCCCCAAAAAAAAAATATACATCTTCTATTTTTTATTTAAATGTTTTATATCTAACTATTTTTTGTTGGCAAACTAATACCCAAAAAATATACAATTTCAAATATAGTTGTACACTATTGACTATTTACTTTTCTATTATTGGGTTTTGTGGAGACAAAATGGGTACTGAAAATATTACTCTGAAATTTACGATAGTTTTCTAACAAATAAAATACTTCTACAACGATGATACCATAATAAAACAAAACAAAAAATAACAAAAACATTCGTGAAAGTTTTTTTTATTCCCACCTTGTGGGATGATGTAAGATGTTTTAATTTAGATAAATCTTATAATATTTTTTTTAATATGATTAAATACGTGTCATAGGATAGAAAAAGTTAGAACAGAAGAATACAAAACTAACACATACATAATTTTGCTTTTAATAAAAATCGTACCATTGTATACAAGTTTACGTATACAAACTAAATGTTATTGACACAGCAGTGTGATTTATATTAACTACGATGTAAAATGTAAATTGTGTTTGACAATGAAATGTACTTGTAAATTGTGGTTATTCACCCCGACTTTTCCCACTTTCTATAGTCAAGTAATTCGAGATTTTGAGAAGGCGGCTAAAAACCATGCACTAAAATAAACATAGTGCTCCTGTCTCCGAAAAAAAAATAAAAAAATTGTGAAGTCTTTTTTAACACAAAATAAAAGTCTTTTATATTAAACAAATAAATTGTTATTATACTTTTGCTTTTAACAGTAAAAAGAATGTTATGTTAAAATACTGCTTCAGTAAATCAAATGTTTTCTCAACTGACTGTCTTTCGATGATAACATGTCAATTTTATCAGAGTGTAGTTTTAACTTTAAGTTATAGATGTTGCTTTATTTCATTTCTGCCCAAGCCTCATCCTCATGCTATCTCATAAATCAAGACCAATTCCAACACTACTGATTATCTTATTGGTAACGTAAACAGAGGAATGTTTAATTGCCAATTCTTTATTTTTCTTTTTAGCTACATGGAATTTTTCCACCGTTTGCAACTAAGGCTCTTGCGTTTTTCACTGCGGGAGAAATACGGTGCGGTTCAAATAGTAACAAAAATATATAGATATATATGTATATGCATATATTTTGACATTGTTACAATAGTGATGCGGTGCGGTTTTATAGTACGGTATAGTTACCATTCGGAGCCTAAAAACTAAGAAGAAGGAAAAATATCCAAGATATGGTATATTTTCCACCGTTTGCAACTAAGGTATTTTCTGAAAATTAATATTTCAGTCCACTTATTTCTCTCATTTCATTATATATATTGCATATATCTTCCAATTGCCACTAAAATCCTAATACATACCCGACAATTATGTTATGTCAGAGTTTAGCTGAATGCAGGTTAAACACTAAACTATATCGTTATCAAACAAAAATATTCGAGTGTATCATATTGCAACTAGTACCAAACCATTGTAATTGGCTCACATATGATAAAATAAAGATACGATTCACGATACATCACATGTTCATATGCTTTTTCAAGTTTGGAAAACAAACCATTATTGTATAAATAATCGTATCAACAACTTTAGGTTCTCGTGCCTGTCGCCATGTGCTGATTAAGTCGTCGACGCTAGTTTACTACATACCGACATACATAACTCCGACGACACGGGATTATGTTTCACTTAATTAACTTCACCATCTCGATCAAACTGTTCTTTTCCAACTGTTGGTTACGTTACTAGTGGAAACTTGCATGTAGTTTTTTTTTTTTACCTGCATGTAGTTTCTATTTAACTTTTAATCTATCTTTCAAACTTGTTTTTCTTTTCACTCATATCTAACATTTCAAAATTTTATTTCATATTTGCAAGCTATCTTTAAGTCTTATAACGTTTACCTTTATAATAATATAGTCATATAGGAAACCATTCAATAAATAAACCCGATAATGAAACAGGTATAGTAGTAATAATTTCATTCTTGAAATCTTAGTTCATTCTTGACGTCGTCATAACGTCATCTTTACATAATGTCCATTATACAAATAGGATAAATAGATAATAACAGTTATACAAATTGAGTAATTAATTAAAATGACAAAAAAAAAAAAAGAGAGTAAATAATGGAATATGGATTTGGGCCTATCTTTTACGGCTCGGTGCGTTTGTGGTTACCGTCACTTCACGCGTCTCCATCGTTTTTTCTTATCAAAAATCAATTAGAGAATTCTTATCTCGTCTATTATGTTTTTAAATTCACATTTGTTTTCATTACACTCTACTCTCTCTCTCTCTCTTTTTGTTTTCTTAGTTTGAATTATGAACTAGATGAGACAGAGACTTCGTCGAATTCTTTTATGATCAGGTCTAATTTATACATCGAATGTTAAGTTCTTTTTATGGGTTTTGTCCCAAATTTACAGTGTTCGTAAATGAATGGACTCAGTCTAAAAACTTGGGCCTAATATTTTCGGCCCAAACAAGTAATGACACGGACCCGTTCACAGTTCCTGACCCAACTTATGGACTTCAAACCGATAGCATCTAAAGTTTTTTAAATTCAATTTCGGTTTTTTCTAATTTTATAAAAATGATCGCAAAATGTAACATATGGGTATTCCTAAAATAAGTCAAGGGCTATTTTCCTATTTAGATACAACCAACATCTCAACGAAACGTCTTTCGTGTGATGGCATTATCGAGATTGGAAAATAGCGTAAACCAAAAGAGAAGCCATCCATAAAGAAAAATTTGTTTCGTAGGGTACGTTAGACAATACCCTTTTGGCTCCCACATTACCTACTATTGTGATCATAAGTTCTTTTTTTTTTTCATTCATAGACAATGTGTCTTGTGTTGTGCCGACAGACATAAACTATATGAATTTCCGCATGCATTTGCTATGATCTCCTACGTACCCACTTATATACTATACAACTTATATATTAATGCTAATTCAAGGGGCGGATAATTAAATCTAAAACACACTTTTGACTGCACTTTCTTATACATATCGATATACATGTAAAAGAAAATGTTTAATTTCTTTAGCCTTTAATCGAATACGTCGATCGTGTATGGTGGACCGTCTTGCGCGTGAAGCAAATTTCTATAGTTTGGTCACTACTCTATGATGATCGATAGATAAAATGCGGACAAAGTTTAATAATTCAAGAGCCTATACTTATATATTTATATTTATAGCCTCTACTTTTAAGTTAAAGGGAAATAAAAAAAAAGTTGGTAAGTTCTGTATGGATAAAATGCATGTGCATGAGATTAATTAAACTAATTACGTAGGATTAACAGTCAGCTTGAGTACATAGATAAATAGTATAAAGAGGATGGGAGGGAGAGGGTGTCGAACCATAACATTTAGAAGTGAATATATAATATATAGTTCGTTTTGAGCTATACTGATATATTCAGATGGAGAGTATAGTAAGAGAGAGATCATCATCAAGGTTAGTGCTTTTCTTGTTCGGTCTTGCTTATGTTTTCCTGTCGCTAAGCTCAAACTCTGTTAATGGGTTACGAGAGCTAAAGGAGAGAGATGTAAGTGAGAGTAATTTCATGAATGCTACTACTTCTTCAAGCGTTTTGATCCACTCTAAGAATACTGCCAACATTTCGACCGTTGGGTTTGAAAATGCCTTAGTTGGTCAGAATAGTAACGTTGACAAGAATGGCAAATGTGAAACACGAAGCGGAGGAGGAGGCGGTGGGGGTGGAGGCGGAGGAGGAAATAGTGGGAATGGAAAAGACAATTCCCACAAAAAGAAAAATAGAAGCGGTGGCGGCGGAGGAGGAGGTGGGGGCGGGGGTAGCGGAAATGGCTCAAGCCGTGGTCAGGGTGGAGGAGGCGGAGGAGGGGGAGGCGGTGGGGGAGGGGGAGGCGGCGGTGGTGGAGGAGGAGGAGGGGGAGGTGGTGGCGGCGGCGGAGGTGGAGGAGGAAATGATGGGAAAGGCGGAGGATGGGGGTTTGGATTTGGATGGGGAGGTGATGGACCCGGCGGCTACGGTGGTCGCTGTTGGTATCCCGGTTGTGCTAAAAAGTCAACGGAAACTCATAATTAAAAAGTCAGAGATCGCCTGAAAGAACAATGATACGTATGTCTTACAAATCATGCTTTGTAGTTTAATTTGTCACCACTTCTTCATACACAATAATTCCCCTGTTTTTCCCTTTACAACGATTTCTTTCTTTTATTCTTGTAATATCTTTGCTTCGATTGAAATGTTAAATGATGATATTTTTCGAGCTGTTTGTTCTCGCTTCTATTCCAAACTCTGACTACAATTATTTATAAAACCAAATTAAAGAAGTTGCCAATTCTTCAACTGATTCTTATATGGACCTAATACGCAAAGAGAATATTCTGTGTTTCAAAATATATATACTGTGTCTAAAAGAACCAAATGCATTGGTAATTGTAGCCGCACAAGTATGGATTGGTTTTGGGTTCAACGAGTTTGAATTGGTCATACGATGGTTCTACTATTGTCTTTGCCTCAACGAAGACAAAAGAGTCGCAAAACAAGAAGAAAGATAAAGGACACCAGCGTAAATGAGAGGCTCGTACGTCATAGGTTTAGGTTTCTGTTATTGACAAATAAATTTGGTTTAGGGTCCGAATAAATGACCAATTTAATCATAGCCAGTCTCAACTTAATTAGATGATAATTGTTTACATTGGTATGCTTTAAACAATTGTGGCGTAATCCAATGGTTTGTACTATTTACGATGATGTATCATAAATTTAATTTATGTGACTTATACTACCAATTATTTCTTTTTTCCTTTTATGTTTGTTGGTTACTATTAAATTTTGATCGGCAAAAATAATGTCTCATCCTACACATAATCAGCAAACAAATATTTAATACAACTTATTACACGTTATTTTGGTGTGCTTGTGTCACGTAAAGTTGTGTTATGGACATGATGAATTTAGTAAGTAAAATCTTTCAACGATCATATGATTTCTTAATCACACATTCCATAAAATAATATATCACTAATTCAATATAGCTTCAAATTCATGAATCTGAAAACAACCTACGATCTTTCTGATCACATTATGCATATGGAAACTGATAAATTTAGTGAAAACCACGGGTTAAACCCGACCCGGATCCGCTGATTTCATGAGCCGCAGCTCCAACACTTTCCGGTGAGAGTTAGAGTGAATCTCGGTGGAGAATGTCGGGCTACAAGCGGGTCTATATTCGGGTAAAAGCCGACCCGACTTAAACCGAACGCCGCAAGCATTACACAGTGTCTTGGCACCTAACGGACCCATTCTCCACTGAGGCGTTTCCTCTACTCCACAATGGCTGCAGCACCGCTGCTGGACTCCGTCACCGGACGACACCTCCGCCGTATGTTTTCCTCTCTTCTTCTTTCCGGAAACGGCGGTGGGTAGCAGGGGAGATGTAGACTCCAGAGACCATATACGGCCATTGGTGCGGCGACGTTTGCTTCTGGGTTTAGCTGGAACACACTGTCTCTGATTCTGAGCCTCATCCACCGACACCGGAAAATCACCGGACAAGTAAGATTCCGAGAAAGAATCCTCCACGAATTTGGATAACCACTCTAGGTTCTCCAGATCACCAGCCTTGACAGACTAAAACAACACAAAATGACAAAAAATAAAACATAGCAAAAATCTAAAGTCAAAAACAGAGTAAAAACAGGGGAGTGGGAAGGAAACAGAGTGGGTAAGTAAGTGGGCTTACTGGAACGTCGTCCCTAGGAAAAGATAAGAGATCTTCGAGCGGTGAAAGATGAGTACTTTGGTCGGAAAGGCTTTTGGCTTTGTCACGTTCTTGTTCATCTTCTTCTCCTTCTTCTCTTTGAGATGAAGATGACTCATCTTCTCGTATGAAAGCAGTGTCGGCGTTAGAGAAGTCGAAAAGGTCGTCGACGGAAAAATCAGCGAGTAATGCTTCCACACACTCCATTTTTCTTGTTTGTCTGTAAAGTGTAAGCGTACGAAAGCACTACAATTATTTTAAAGGTAAGATGAGCGAGTCCAAACAAATAAAATAAAAATGTTTGTTCGTCTTCCAATATTTTTTACACAAATTTCATTTCCTCCTTTTCAAAAATTTAAAATTTAGTACGTGTCTACCGAGAGAGAGATAGAGAAGCGAGACAGTAGACAGAACTGATTGGGTTCTGTAACTTGTAAGCAAGGGTGGGTTTTTAGGACTTTGCGAGACTTTTTTTTGTTTGTCAATGGTCTCGTTGCATATCAACAAACCACGCATTGCCACGTCAACATTTCACATTACAAAAAAAAAGAAAAAAGGAAAAACGAATATACTTTTCTTTTTTCAATAATTTAAAAGAAGGTACAGATAAAAGGTTAGCTAAATTTTAGCTATAGAGTTAAGAGTTAAGACTTACAAAAAGATGAAAATACTTATCAAGTTGAAAAGATAATAAAATTTAGCTATAGAGTTAGAACTATATCAAGTTGCAAATCCTTAGAACTATATTAGTCTCTCAAGTCTCAAATTTCTAATAAGTTTGTAATATAACAAGAGACACGCCAAGATATATATTTCATAGTTTAGAACTATCATTCATCAATTTGCAAGTCTTTTGAGTTACTATCAAATTAAGTCATTCATAACGAGTTTTGTCAATGTAATTTCTGAGACCACAGTAATATATATATTACACAAACGCACGCATCAATCCATAGTGATTGTATACTTTGACTTTGCTTTTTTTCTCAGTGACTTGGATATGAAAGTTTAAAAATGGAAGATCTGTTTCGAAAAGGAACTATATACAAGCAAATAATGGAAATTATTTTTTAAACAATTGTGAAAATAATATATAGTGGTATTCTAACGATCTAATGAAGAGAACCACTCATCAAACCTAATTTACCATGACTGGTTTGTCAGTGTTATTGAACCAAAAACGCCCACTTCTTCGTCTTCTTCTCTTTAAGCTTAGTTATTAGTCAACCTACTTTAGCTACACATATTTTTAGTAGTGTATATCCAGGTCGATCGATAATTACGAAAAAATAGGAAAAAATGAAAAAGAAAAGCTAACAATATTTTCCTTTGCAAAAGAAAATTAACAGTAGTAAAAAATTGCGGTAACGTCGATAGAGAGGGAGAATAATGATTGAAAAATTATGGACTACAAAGTCTGGCTACATGGGCCCACTCGACCGTCGGTGGAAGGCCCAATTGAGAAATCTGATAAAATGGGACCAAAAAACAAGAAAGAGGTTTGTTCTTTTGAATTCAAGAATGGAAACCATCACATGATGACGTTGATGAGCGCGTGAGACCATTTTCTCATTGCTTAATTTTTGAACAATTCTTGGGTTCACCCCTTGGGGTGAACCTATCTCATTCACCCACTCTAAGCTAACCAATCAAAATTAGCCATGTCATCTAATTAAATGAATTAAAATAATTTATCTTATTAATTACAAACTTTAAATTTTAACCACTATATTATTAACCTAAACTTAAATATAATTTAGTTTATTTATAAAATCTAAACCCTAAAGTACTAATTTGTCAACCCAAACCAAAATATAATCTTGTTTAATTACAAAATCTAAACCATAACCACTATTTTGTCAACCCAAACCAAAATATAATTTTGTTTAATTACAAAATCTAAACCCTAACTACTATTTTATCAACCCAAACCGAAATATAATTTTGTTTATTTAGAAAATATAAACCCTAACCACTATTTATAAACCCAAACAAAAAAATAAATTCATCTATTTATAAAATCTAAACCCTAACCATTATTTTATAAACCCAAACCAAATAAAATTTCCTAAATAAAAATCCTACAGAATTTGTTTCCTTAATTTGTTTTATTTTATGATTTTAATTTTGATTTATTTTTTAAATAGAAAATGACATGGCACGTTATTATATTTTGATTGGTTAATTAAAAGGGGTGAATGAGATAGGTTCACCCCTAGGGGTGAACCCAAGAATTTTTCTTAATTTTTCACCATGATTAAATTCGAATCATATACGGCCTCGATAAATAAGCCCTAATTTCAGTTATATATATATAATGTACTAGATTTCAAACAATTGGGTGTTTGGTCTAGTGGTATGATTCTCGCTTCGGGTGCGAGAGGTCCCGAGTTCGATTCTCGGAACACCCCTCTCTTCTTTAGTGCTTTATCAATCTTTTCTTCCTTTTTGTTACTCACGGATTAACCGAGTGTTAAAGTTACAGGCCTAATGGGCCGTATGAGCTTAAATGCAAACCAGTAAAAGTGGAATGTTTTCAATGTTGGCAGAGAAGCAACCGACAAAATGGACCAATTTTTTTGTACAACTCTCTCGTCAACTTTGATTTCACTGATTTACATCTATAGAATAAGATAGAAGAACTAAACTTTAATACTAATTAAACTCCAAAGTGTATTAAACTACCACTAACCACGATGATACTTAAGAGCATCTACATTCCTCATACAAAATTATGTCTTTAAATCAAACAGACAAGGAACATGAGAGAGATCCCCTGTCTCCATATATATTATGCCCAACTAATATATTTAAGACATCTTCGTAAGCATAACTAATGAATCGTTTAAGAATATATCCATCTTTCAGGTATGTAAGATTTACCTTGATATAAGAACAATTACTATGAATTTTTGGCTAACTATTTTCTCCTATAAAGAGTTGGTTATATCCTAAACGAAGATAAACACATAACCTTAACCCAAAACGCTGAATCATAAACCAAATATCATTTTCTCCATAATGATCATTATATTTAGATATATCTCCATATCGGGTCTACTAGTTACTAAGAATTTATGCCCAACTATTTTTTGCTAGTTCATAAAGAAAGATAAACACATGATCTACTATTTTTCCCAAATACGATCCACTATGCAATAATTTAAGTATGCAGTACTATTCACGTTTCAGTACACATAATTATTAACTTTCCCAACCATATTTACAAACTAAATCGAACAGTACCACATCATATCATCTATACCCTAGTTTACTCGACATATATATAAATAAAAGCATGTTAAATAAACAAAGATAGTTGTGAGTTTGATAGTTTTTTTTTTTTGGGTGGTAAAAAGTGAATTTGATAGTTGACAAAAAAAGACAGTACATATATATTTTACTGAATATATGAATGTTGATATTTGGCGGTGAAGCATTAAATGGCCGGTGCCAGTATGTAGACGTTCCGGACTAGGTTAGTTGAGGCAGTGAATCAATAAATGTCACCGATTCATATAATATAAAGTATTTCAAGAAGATATATATCATGTGAATTCAAGAAATCTATCAATTCCAGCATTGAATTCAACGATATGGACTTCCATCTTCATGATAACGACTTTTAAAGCAGTAGTAACACAGCGAACATATTTATTACCTACCTTATCATTTCCCCAACGAGTTTATTTTCTCCGCATTTTTAATCATCACCCTATAAGTGGGTTATGACTTGAAATAGAAACACTCTAACTCTAAAAGAGACAACCAAACAAACAGTTCGTAGAGCTTCTATAACCAAACTCTGGATTCTGAGCAGAGTTCGAGGATTCGAAGCCAATGGAAGCCATGAAGGAGACTGTGGAGGAGAGCTTGAGAGAGATGAGAGATACGTTCGCGAGTGGGAGGACAAGGAGTCTGAAGTGGAGGAAGAGACAGATCGAAGCTATATACGAGATGGTTAAAGACAACGAAGACAAGATCTGTACTGCTCTGTTTCAAGATTTGGGCAAACACAGTACTGAAGCTTTCAGAGATGAGCTTGGTTTTATCATGAGATCAGCTACTGCTGCAATCAACGGTCTTGATAAATGGGCCGCCCCCAAACATGTAAGAACCACCGCTAAGCATATAACATTATTTATGGGATTAATCTGAATTTAGATTTATCAAGAAACTGATTATTCTTATTTATGTGGTTGGATAATTGTTTTCCTGGTTCTGAAAAAAACAGAGCAACCTTCCTCTGTTGTTCTACCCAGCAAAAGGGAAAGTCATATCGGAACCATTTGGGACGGTTCTTGTTCTGTCTAGCTGGAACTTTCCTATATGTAAGATTCGGATCTTGAATTAGTTATTTCTTTTTTAGAAAGCAATAATAATACGAAAGACTGAAAGAGTAACAATAATATTGAGGTTTGTTTTTTTACGGTTTGTTGTCAGCTTTGTCTCTGGATCCATTGATTGGGGCAATAGCAGCAGGAAATACCGTGCTTCTCAAGTCATCTGAACTAAGTCCTAACGCATCTGCCTTCCTTGCCAAGACAATCCCGGCTTATCTCGACACTAAAGCCATCAAAGTTATCGAGGGAGGACCTGATGTCGCCACTATCCTCTTGCAGCAACAATGGGACAAGATCTTCTTCACTGGTATCAACTCCATTATTCACCCTTCAACACGCGATATCTTGGTTGTAGCAGAATTCGCATGATTTTGATGTTGTTGTTTGCTTTGCAGGGAGTCCCAAGATTGGAAGGATCATAATGGCTGCAGCAGCACAGTATCTGACTCCTGTGACATTAGAGCTTGGTGGCAAATGTCCCACCATTGTTGACCATCACACCATTGCAAAAAACATCAAGGTCTGCTTTTTGCTCTGTTTTTCTTACCTCCCGATTTGATTGCAACGGAAGCTCTTCATCGGAAAAGCCCCTAATTTTGAATTATTGGTGACGATACAGTCGGTTGTAAAGAGGATTACTGGAGGAAAATGGGGATCTTGCAGTGGACAAGCTTGTATCGCTGTTGATTACGTTATTGTCGAAAAGAGTTTTGCGTCTTCTCTGGTACGTGAACGCACACAATGTGAACCCTCGCAAACTCTGTTTCTGTAGGATTTCTAAAAGTTTGGTGGTTTTTTGTAGATTGATATGTTGAAGCCATCCGTAAAGTCTTTCTTTGGGGAAAATCCTAAAGAATCTGGATGTCTCTCAAAGATTGTTACCAAGCAGCATGTTCAGAGACTGGCTCGTCTTCTCAATGATCCTCGTGTCCAAGCTTCCATCGTCTATGGTGGTTCCATAGACGAAGAGAAGCTGTAAGCTTTAATTTAGTCATGTTTCTTGGATCACACGAAATCAATTCTACAAGTCAGTTAACCTAAATTCTTTTTAACAGGTATGTTGAGCCAACGATCTTGTTGGACCCTCCTCTTGATTCTGAGATCATGAATGAAGAGATCTTTGGTCCAATTCTCCCGATTATCACGGTAGGCATTTTCAAAGTATACAGTATATACATTAGTAAACAATCAACTATTCAACTAATCGTTGTTAATTTTGTCTATTTCCTCCGATGCAATGAAGGTACGTGACATCCAAGATAGCATAGGGATCATCAAGTCAAAACCAAAGCCACTTGCCATTTATGCATTCACCAAAGACGAGAACCTTAAAACTAGAATCTTGTCAGAAACGTCCTCGGGAAGCGTTACCTTTAATGACGTCATGATCCAGGTACGCCATAATCGTTTTATTAGCTCAGAGTTATTTCTTTAGGTCTCGATAATGACTCATATCGTCTGGTTAAATTTTGGAGTATCGAGTGAAAACACACGATATATAAATTTTTTCTCATAAGTTAGTGTTGATGGAATTGCAGTATATGTGTGATGCGTTGCCCTTTGGAGGAGTGGGAGAGAGTGGGATAGGGAGGTATCACGGGAAATACTCGTTCGACTGTTTTAGTCACGAGAAGGCAATAATGGAAGGAAGTTTAGCAATGGATCTTGAAGCTCGATACCCTCCATGGAACAACTTCAAGCTCAGCTTCATTCGACTCGCATTCCGTGAAGCTTACTTCAAGCTTATCCTCCTCATGCTTGGTCTAATCAAAAGATAAAAGTGAGAGAAAAAGAAACACAGAGACACAATATACACAATATATATGTGATTGATATCACTCTTATGTTTGATTTACATATTTTTCACCTAATAAGTCACATTCCAGATGTCTTAAATGATAGAGAGCGGAAGCTAAAAAAAGGATAAATTTGGGAATACTCTTCCCCGTTCCCGAAAGCTCGTTAGATAAGTTGGGAATACTCTTCCCCGTGCCCGAAAGCTCGTTTATAAAGGAGAAACCTCTCAACTTTATTAATCAAAATCAATATCATAAACTAAATTACAAACTTTCCTAAAAGTCTCTATTTATAATAAACCTTAAAACCCTAATACTTGGAATATTCTAGAATAATAATAAATAATTAGCTAAAGATAATAACTAAAGATATTTGAGAATATTTGGAAATATTTCAAATATCTCGCTGCATCAGGTCTCGCCGGCCAAGAAAAGATTCGTCCTCGAATCTTGTATCTGCGCTGCATCAGCTCCCACCGGCCAAGAAAGATTCGCCCTCGAATCTTCAGCAGGGTGTTGAACAAGGAAAATTTTCGCAGATCCATTTTAATAACTAACTTTTGATTTTGCACAAATTTTGCACGAATCCGGTTTGACCCGAAATTTGCACGAACCGTATCTTGCCCGAAATTTGCACGAACCGTATCTTGCCCGAAATTTGCACAGATCCGATTTCGCCCGGTATCTGCACAAACCAGATTCACAAAATCTTTCTCTTTCAAGACGAACTCTGAAACCATGGTGTCATCTTCATCACCATCGTTTCCATCATCATCCTCATCAACAACAGCACCATCTTCGTTATCGCCTTCAACAACTTCATCATCAACATCGTCTTCAAGATCGGGTTCAACATCTTCATTGAATCGATGGTTATCATGAGGCAAAACTTGTTGTTGTTGTTGCAGTCGATCAATCAATTGAAGCTGGGCTTGAAAGTATACCTCAAGGGCTCTACCAAGATTCTGTGTAAAATCCAGTAATGCTTGTTGTAAAGCATCAGGTAGTCCGCTTTGTTGGTCTTGTAAATTCTTTGGAGGCATCATGAAAAGAACCGTTTTAGCTCTGATACCAAATGATAGAGAGCGGAAGCTAAAAAAAGGATAAATTTGGGAATACTCTTCCCCGTGCCCGAAAGCTCGTTAGATAAGTTGGGAATACTCTTCCCCGTGCCCGAAAACTCGTTTATAAAGGAGAAACCTCTCAACTTTATTAATCAAAATTAATATCATAAACTAAATTACAAACTTTCCTAAAAGTCTCTATTTATAATAAAGCTTAAAACCCTAATACTTGAAATATTCTAGAATAATAATAAATAATTAGCTAAAGATAATAACTAAAGATATTTGAGAATATTTGGAAATATTTCAAATATCTCGCTGCATCATTAAATCACTCAACACTCAAGCTTGAGATTTTTTTCAGATAAGTAATTTTTTTGGTATCTATATTTATTTCTATTGGATATGATCTTACTTCTTAGACCACCCTATATTTTTCGCGAAAACTTAAGAATTATATTATTCATTAATAAAGAAAATCTGATTGCAAAACTACTTAAAGTGTTTTCGAAGGCAGATCTCATGATTAGTATATATAGAAAGTACATCCACACAAAATTCCACAAAAATAGTTTCGTGAATTGTGTATCACCTGAAATATAACTGAAACTCGATATGAACCATTGGACTACACAAAGAATGAATGCATGTGATACCTCAATTAAAATTCATATTAAACTAGTAAGATTGTTCTTATAAGGACCACTAAACCGTATATTTAGACACACATACACAGTAACTGAAACAAGATTGAAGATGTCCGCATCAGTAATATACATACATACTGGCTGTGTACGTATATATATGTGTGTCTTGTCAAAAGAAAAAAAAAAAGAAACGAAAAGCTGATAGAAAGTATGGGCACACACGCCACAATAATAGGTTACTGCATCACTGAACCAGTTTCTTTCATCCCCACCCTAACTAAAGCTCTACCAAAAACCCTAGCTAGCTTCTTTTTTTTTTTCCTTCTAATCTATATCTTTTCTTCTTTTTGGTACGTCGTCCTTACTTGCCTCTCTTTATCTCCAATCTCTGCAGCATTCCTCATTATTAATTTCATCTTTCCATCTCTCCCTCTCCCTCTCTTTGTCTATCTCTGGATATGTCTTGTATATCTTCTTGAACTCAATTCCAACCAGAAACCATATTTCTTATAGTTGTGTATTTTCACTCTTAGAGAGTTAAAAAAATAAGGGGGATGATTGACTTGTTATTCAAGGCACGTTCCCGAGGCTAAACCACGTGAACTTCAGGTGATCTAATCGTTTCTTATTTCTACTTCCTGAATTTTCGTTCACCAAAGTAAACGTGTCGTATATATATTGATCATATTTACATAGTAGTCTACTCGGAGAGGAATTTAGCATCTTGCTAATCCTTGCTATATATGTATTATAGACATATATTAATGGCGTTAAACAGGTGCGTTTGAGAAGATTAATGTTTTAATTTTTATGTTCCTACATATGCAGTTCGCCATATTGTTAATTAATTTATAACGTTCGTACATATGCACTTCGCCATATTATTAATTATTTATAAAGTAAAAATTACAATATACATGATTAACTTTTGTTTTATATTTTCCCTCAGCATATTAGCCATTGAGCACCTTTTGACTTAAATATTTGAAAAATTATTGCATCACACTAATATTAGATGGTCTTCTTGCTAATTAATAAAGTTACGTTCTAAGACCGTATCTAGATGCATTAATTTAAATCAATGAATTGTATTAGGAGATCTTTTCATTAAGCCTTACGAATAAATTAACTATACATATTAGTAAGCTCTAAATTAAACTAATTGGTTTCATCTACCATAGGCACGTGATGCAAGAACGTACGAATTATATAATTAATCCTCGAGTTTAAAAAAAAAAAGAATCGACGCGAGTTGCTTCATATATATATTCGTCATTTATTCTTCAAACACCAATTCATTGCGAAGTATGATGAGTGTATGGAATTGACAATATATAGGGCCAGTACTATAATCGTAACTTATATATTGTGCCCTCATTTGCTTTCTTGTCGTTGTCACTATTTAATTCACTCTAATTAATTCACCTTCATATCTATCTATATAGATTAATTCACTTTACAGTAACAATATAAAATAGTTGATGGTATATATTTAAGATATATATAGTTCTGATTTCTGAATATCTAAATCATTTTAGACTTCACTAGACCTTATGAAAATAATAATAGTTTATCCAATATTATAACACAAGAATTTCTCGAGTTTATCCAATAGGAGAAGCAACCGGCAACATCGGCATAATCATGGAAGAAAAAAAATAACGTATCGAGAACCAAAAATACTTACGTGTTTTTAAACCAGCACATACTTATAAATTATAATAAAGATTCATTACCGTACAATTTAAATAATAAATTAACACATCCATTATACATAACAACAAACAGCACACAAATGTTTATCCGATTTGCAAAATCGTCAAGTATTACATATAATTCATCAGAACAATAAAACAAAAATCACATTACATTTATAGAATCAATATGAAACAAAAACAGAAAAAAAAAACTCAAGTTCTTGATTTAATCAAGATCTAAGATCTTGGTGGATTTTGATAGAACTGCGTACCTGGTGGCATGAACACACTAGTCGTCATGTTACTTGAATAATATCCACCAGAGTTAGGATCTACAAACATTGCCGATGATCCTCCTCCGCCACCGTCGGCCACAATGGGTGGATTAAACGGATTTCCTCCTCCTCCTCCGCCTCCTGCGGATGAGCTTTGATGATCGCTTCCCCCACTACCTGCACTCATGTAGCTGCTTTCAGGGCCTTGGTCATACAAAATTCCTTTGAAGAGATGACCTCCGATATTGACCGTCGTTTGATAAGCATATTGACCATCTCCATCGTCCACGCCACTCATTTTGACACACCGAAAAAGCGCATCTGAGCTCACCTCCCCGGGGAAACTTGCTTCCCCCATTTCTAACCCTAAAAACATATGTAAAGAAATACACATTAAATTTCAAACACTTAACAAAAAGAAAAAAACCAATGCATATAAACACAAGATTACTGCGTCTGTGTTTTCATGTTATATTATATATGTGTCCAATTTGAAAATCGAACACAACATTGTCATGTTTTTATCAAGCATAAACATGTGTTAACCGAAACGAAAATTACAATTCAGAATGAAAAAATGTGCAAGTAGTAAAAGGGAATTTAAACTCAAAAAAATTGTGTGTAAAAAAATATGAGTTTCTTTTAACAAAAACATATGATTTGAATCTGAAGTTGTCCGGATCTCAAATAGTTATTAAGACAATAAATAGAAAACAAAAACCTGCTGAGTCGGATGGTAAGCGAGAGGAGGAGGATGTTCCTGCAGGAAGAGTAGTATCCCTATGGCGTTTAGGGATACTCGAACCGCCGCCTACACCACCACTACCGCTTCCGGCGCCATCGCCACCAGATGTGGACATATGAAGCTGCTGTTGTCTCTCACGGCGTCTGGCAACGGGTATCCACGTGCTCCTCACGTGTGTAGAACAATCGAATCCACGGCTCTTACAGCAAGTCCTGCAACGCATGTGAGTGCAGTCTTTCTTTGCTTGGTTCCCACAGTCCCGACAGCTTATGGTGATGGATCTTGATGAGGTGGCTAAATCAGAGACGTCGATCTGATGACCTGGATAAAGATCTAAGCTTTGTTGTTGTGGATGTGGATGATGATGCATGAGCATCTGCTCTGGTGGAATCTGCCATATCTGTTGGCTCGAGCCTGGGTTGATATTAGTGGCGTTCGCGTTTGATCTATACCAAACCCAATTTGTCTTTTGTTGTTGCTGATTTTCTTCTTCTTGGTCTCCGTTGTTGTTGTTGTTGTTACCTCCTAATGAGAATATCCCAGCCATTTCCTAAGACCTAACACTTCAAACCCTAATCTTGATCCAACAATATCCATAATTCAGAAACCCTAATTACCATGAAATCCTTAACCTTTATTTTCTCCTTCTCCTCACTAAAATACGGGACTTCTTCTCACTCGAGGGTGTTCTTGCTCTTTGAATCTAAATTCTAATGCTTGCCAAGGTCTCTCTCTCTCGCTCTCTCTTGGAACAAAGTGTGGTTCTTGGTTGTGACTAGTGAGTAGTTGAGGTGAGAGAAAGTAGGAAAAAGAAACAAAAGAGAAGAAAGAAAGAAAGAAGAATTTAAGCTGTCTCTGCTTAATTATGAGTCTTTATTTTTCTCTATAAATTTCTGCAACGCCGCCATGGACGGTTTTAGAATTCTCTCTCCTCTGCTCTGCTCATCCCTAGAATTTAAGACTCTCTCTTTCTCTCTCTCTCTCCACCACTCTGATTTGGTTTTTGCAGATTCTATGAAAACCAAAGTGAAAAGCTTTTCTTTCCCCTTCTCACTTCGGCTTTGTCTGAACAAAACGCTTCTAGTTCTGTCCGTATGAAAGTAAAGAAAGGATTAAACAAAGACTCTCTCTCTCTCTCTCTCTCTCTCTCTCTATCGACTCAGAGTTCACACCCACGAGGGATGATCCACCGGTTCTAGCTCTCTTGTTCCCATCCCATGGTCCAGAGTTTTCCACGTGGCCAATGCATGTGTTGAGCTTATTTTTCATCTTAAAACGGAACAATTCAGTATTTTTCTTAACACACAATTTTTTTTTGTGGTTATCAAGAAAGAAAAAACAAAGTTAGCCCATGTGTCCGTACATACTAATCAACCGTATTAATTAAGGTTAATTTGAAATCTACCGCTTAAATATATGTTTTTGTTTTGTCTATAAATCTCAAAGATTATTAACTGCCCAACACCTAGATGCCTTTAGGGTTCTCTCTTTGTGGGCGTTTAAATAAGCTTTAATACCGGAAATATTTTTTTCATATTTTACTAAACTCTAATGCTATACGTATTAATACATTAACCCTAATTACTTGGACGTTTAAATTATGCCAAAATATTAATACATCTACCCTAATAGTTTGCTCATATTTACTTGTATCTCAATCACATATATCAACATCAGTCATAGCTTAAATAGGAATGAAATATTATTTGTTGCCACCTTTCTGAGTTAAAATGATAAATTTGCATAACAATTACTATTATAGTTTTGTATTTCCGTAACAAGTTCCTCCCTAGCTAGTTCTTACAAATTGGCGTGGTTGTGCTTTACATAAAAGAAAAACAAGTTCCCTAGTGGCTATTTCTTGCATTACGTGTAAGGAAAGCGGAATGGTTCGAAGTACGCGTACATAGAATGTAGTATAGCCATATTTAGATTGTTCTGAGGTAACTAATCCTGTGTGATCAAATCATGACACCTCTTTTCTTCCTTAATAAAATACTCCCGTATATCAGAGAGGATGTAATGGTGTTGGCGAAAACGCCAAAACATGTGGTTGGTTGATAATCTACAATTAAAAATTATTTTACCAAAAAAATTTTTTTTTTTTAAAAAAACAATACAAACCCAAACGATCGTTATTCTGAGTTGACAGACTAGAGTAACACGATTGTTTTTAAGCAATTACAAAACATACAATTCTAAAGATACTAATCATATATATATATATATATATATATATATATATATATATATATATAATAAATAAATAAATAAATAAAATAAAGTAAATAATAA